TATACAATGTGTATTCTTGTGTCTAGCCTCTTTCAGCAACATTAATTTTGAGAGTCACCTATATTGTTGCATGTGGTTATAGATTGCTCATCCTCATTATTCTGTTGAGTGATATACCATAGTTTAAAGGGCCTTTTAGGTGGTTTCCAGTTTGGGCTATTATGAATAGTGCTACTGTGAACTATCTGTCTCTTGTAAAAGATGGAATGACTTTCAGTTTTTACAATGAATGGGAGGGGTCTTTTCTTGCCTACTCAGTGTGTACCTCCTTATCCTTCCTGCCTAAAAAAGGCCACAGTTTGCTAACCATTTGTCACACAGGTACTTAGCATCTTTCAGGTGACCAAGATACATTTTCTTAACTCCAAATCAGCTGATCCTTATTGTTAAAGAAAAAGCTTTCCTCTTCATTTCCAAAAAAAAAACCCCACTAGACTCTGGATGGCATTGTAATTAGTTCAGCAGCAGATTGTTAGGGAGATTCTAGTTACAGGATAGCTGCAACCCACACTCCCAAGTTGTTGGACTAGTAACTAAGGAACAATGTCTTATGTCTTTCTGAAGGGTTTATATGCCAGAGAACACTTGGGCTACTTTACTTGTTCTTGTTAAATGAGGAACTCGAGGAGGATTACCTAACTTCTGATTAGGGTCCAGCTTTCCTTCTAAAAAAACTGGGATTGTTATGGGGTCTGGCCTTGGGATTGCTGTAGAATTGAAATGAAATGCTCCTAAACAGGTCCTCTTGGCAAGTGTGTGACTTGCAGTCCTCAGTCTGTGAGTGGATCTTGGGCTCTTTGTTGGCTGCTTTGGGCTTTCCAGGGTTGGGTTAAAAATGTGCCTTTCTGTCCCTGGCCCTGAAAATGAAGCCACTTTCCTATTTAAATATCAGTTAAAAGAAAGAAGAAGATTTAAATTGGATACCTTCAATGGGGATTTCAGAAATACAGTAGAACCTCCATAGTTGACCACCTCCTTAACTTGACCTAATTTTCTTAGACCAGACATGCACCACATGTACATATCAGTATAGTAGGCCTAGTTCCTTATGTTGAACCTCTGTATGTTGACCAGTTTGTTACAGTACTTGGATGGTCAACTTACAGAGGTTGTGCTGTGTATTACATTATATCCTCCTAAAGAGATGAACCATTTTCTGATGTTTTCAAGTTATAATTATAAAGAAATGCAAAAATAATAATAAGAATTTTAGATCAACATAAACTAGTAACTCAAGGGTAAGCTTAATGAACAGGGGAAGAAGTGAGGTATTTTGACAGGCACTGATTTCCAAAGAACAGGTGCACACAGTGGCTAAAAATAGTGTTGTGTCATCAGCCTTAGAGAAAATGTAGTCAGAAAAAAACCAAGGTTTCTTTTCTAAATTCAGGCCTTGAGTAAGTTATAGGAATGTGGGGGTAGTTTAAAGGTGAATTTGTGAAAACCAGGTCAGCAGGGCAACTCCTGAATGATTATAGTAATAACATACTCCCCCCCACATATATGTATTTTTTACAAAGCACCTTTTAAATCTACTTTCTTAATTCCACTCTTTTACAAACCCTATAAGATAAAGAAGGCAAAAGTCACTGGACAAATGTCATTAGATAGAGGACCAGGCTTATATCTCCTTGCTTTTAGCCTTTATTCCAGTGTGTTTCCCAAGCAAGGAGAATGAATTCATAGGTTTACTCTCAGTTCATTTCCAGATGATACAAATATAGTAGTACTGAAAATTTTACTAATTGTAATTGTACTTTTTCCTACTAATGTCACTTGTGAATAGTATCGCAAACTCTGGAGTCAGACTTAAGCTGAATAGCATGCTTATTTATTGGTTTTTAAAAAATTCTTTTTAATTATTTTTGTATTTTTTGAGACAAGGTCTTGCTCTGTTGTCTGGGGTAGAGTGCAGTGGCATCATCATAGCTCACTGTGATCTCAAACTCTTGGGTCAAGTTATCCTTCTGCCTCAGTCTCCTGAGTAGTTGAGAGTACAGGCACAGACCTCACTGTATCTGGCCAACTTTTCTATTCTTTGTAGAGATGGGACTCTTGTTCTTGGTCAGGCTGGCCTCAAACTCCTGGCCTCAAGCTGTCCTTCTGCCTCAGCCTCCCAAAGTGCATTACAGGTGTGGGCAATCAGTAGCTTTTTTGTTGTTTTTGTTTGTTCTTTAAACGATTCACTAGGTAGGGTGACTGTTAGTTTATCATTTCCCTTTTTAGAGGCTCAGAAATGGGAATAGATAAGCAAAAATTTAAATTCAGCTCTTCTCAGATTATCTCCAGTGCTCTTGTCTTTAGACTATACTGTTTTTATGATAAAGTTGTAAATAAATCAAAATGATTTTTAACTTGTTTTATTTGTTTAAATACAAAGTCCTTAGAAAGTCACTTTTTGGTTATGCATGGTTTTCCTCCATGGGGAATTAAGATTTGATGATTGCATTCTTATACTTAGAGCTGACAAGTTACATTCTCCATATGGCTGGCCCCTATGCCTGATGTCCTCCATTCCAGCCACACCTGAATTGTTGGGATTACCCATTCACTTGTGCTCTTGTACTTCTTTGGGTCTTTGTATCCAGTGTCTGGACTTTTCCTCCCTTGTGTCAATTCTTGCTCCACTTGACCACTTTCTCCATTACTGTGAACTCCTAATGCAAGATCCATGTCTTTTTTTGTTTGGTACAAGATAGTATGCAGGAGGACACATAACTAACTGTTTAGCCAAAAGCCAGCAGTCTGCTGACATTTCTGGAAGCCTAGGAAGGTCATCTACTTTAACTGTTATTATTTAGTGTTGTACTGGGGGTACTTGCCAGTGGATTAGAAAAGAATGAAATAAGATAAAAAAAATTTATTTACATATAGGGTTGTATGCTCGGAAAGCCCCAGAGGCTCAATATTCAAATATTATAAATAGTAAAAGACACTCAGCTTTGGTGGTTGGGTATAAAAAGGTAGAAGAAGATAGTTCTATAGAAAACTGTAAAAGCTGTGAAAGACTTCTTGGCTGGGAATTATATCAATATCATATTGATATCATAAAGATGTTGGTGCTAATTCATTTAGAAAAATAAAATATTGAGACTAGCCAAGAAAATTGTGATAATCATGGAAAAAAGGGGGGAGGAAGCTTATTTAACTATTGAACTTTATCTGGTACTAAAATATACTGTAATAGTAGAAATGAAAATAATTTGGTATTTGAATAGGGATCAGTTCCAAACAGAATAGTCCAAAAATAGATCTTAACATAAAAGAGAATATTTGATGAAAGTAACTTTTCAAGTAATTGGAAAAAAGGTGAGTTACTCTGTAAATGGGATTGGGAAAACTGAGTGATGACCTAGAACAAAAAGTTGGATCTCTTCCTCATTCCTTAGATGAACCATGAAAGTACTACACTAAAAATGTGAACTTTTTATATTCTTAGAATGAAAATATTTTAAAAAATTTATTGGTATGTGATGGATACATTTGGCTACATTTAATTAAACTTATGCATGTCAAATTATGGTAAAAATACCATGAAACTAATGACAGCATAAAATGTTTGTAACAATTGAGAAAGAGAAATTTCATAATGTATAAAGAAATGTAAATCTACTAGAAAGATGAATAAATGAAATACTAAAGTTTTTTAAATGTAAAAAGGGGCTTGATTTTTCTCATAAGATACATAAAACTTAATTTTTAGATGGGTGAATATAAAATACACTAAGTGGTGAAGGTAGGGAGAGCAGACAGACATCTACTTAAAACAATTTTTTTTTAAGTTTTTAAGAAATTGTTATTTTTTTAGAGACATGGTCTTGCTCTGCTGCCCAGACTTCAATGCCAGCCTGATGATAGCTCACTATAAACCTTGAACCCCTGGATTCAAGTGATCCCCCTATCTCAGCCTCCCTAGTAGTTGGGACTGTTGAGTTGCCTGCCTTTATGCATGGCTCATTTTTTTATTTTTCATGGAGACAGAATCTTACTGTATTGCCAAGGCTGCTCTTGAACTCCTAGCCTCAAGCAACCCTCCTAGCTCAGCCTCCCAAAGTGCTGTGATTATAGACCTGAGCTACTATATCCACCTTATCTACTTTTTAGGAGGAAGTATAAATTGATGAAACATTTTTGTAGGCATTTAGCAGTATTTACCAAAATAAATGCGTGTGTCTGTTGGTCTGGCACATTGATTGGCAGGAATTTATCCTGTATATATCCAGGTATAAAGAGGATATGCAGTATATTTATTGTGACATCATAACAGTGTAAAGGAAGTTTGGACAGTCACATAAAAAGAATATCTCGAAGCCAGTAAAAGTATTTTGTTGAGGAAATGAACCAAGGTATCCTGTGCTATGCAAGATAGGATGAAGAAGGATGGATAATAGTAACACATACTATTCTTGAAATAAATGAAGGAACTGATCAATTTTTGCTGGAAAGAACTGGGAAACTCAGGGTCAAGAGCAAGGCTTACTTAATAACTTTACCCCTCTGTATTTTTTGTTTTTTTGGGTAATGCTTTTTAAGTCATGTACCCATATTATCTGTTTAGTGCATTGGTTTGAATTAAAAAGACCCTGTTTTACTTCTGCCTTTTAAATATGACATTTTTGAACAAGGTTTATCATCTTAGAATATTTTTTCCTGAGTAGAGGCATTACTGTTCTATTAGAAATTAAGTGTTTGTAATTCATTTTTTTATATGGGTATAATTATATGCCTAATCCCAGTAAAGGCTAATCATATACTTCTATAGTATTGATTTTTCCAACTTGTTTAATAGTATTTATTGCTTATATTGTGCTAGCATTTTATTCCATTGAGTGGCAAATTGGTATGGACTTTTCTCAGTTTTCTTGGATTCTATTGGTGGTAATGTTGTAGCTCTCATTGAGGAGAATGCTTTGCGGGGGTTAATTTTGTTTAGTTAAAGGAAGAAAGTTATCCAGGCTTAGAGAAACTAACTGCCTTTTTTTTTTTTTGGATCTGGACAGATTTGGAGGCCAATCACTGCCACCTTTTATTTCCCTGTGGGTCCAGGAACTGGATTTCTATATTTGGTCAATTTATATTTCTTGTATCAGTATTCTACACGACTTGAAACAGGTATGTGATCCACGGTTATTTTAAGTATTGTTTCTAATTTGTTAATCCATATATGTACTTCCTTGGAGGAATTTGGAAGGCCATTAGCATTATATATAGAAATGGCATAATGATAAATGCTCAGTGACTGTGGCAGGCACTTAGATAATTTAGTTTTTAATCTTCACAGCATCCTGAGATGTAAGTAGCAGTGTCATCATTTTATAGGTGAAAGAAATAGCAGGTCAGAAGTTTATAAGTCTTGCTTGTCTCCTTCTGGCAGAGCTGTGTGCCTCCTCCCATATTTTGACTATCTTACTCTCTTTTGAAAAGGTTGGCTGACTTCAGAGACATCATAAACCTGCTGACTGTTAGCTCAGGATAGAAAATCCTAAACCACCCCTAAATCTAAGTCAGTGCTCATAGGTTTGAGAATTGTGAGTCGGTCTCATAACTGCAGAGTAATTGTAGATGGACATGTGGTGTTAAATATAATTTTTCCTTAAATTGGCATTTGGTATTATGTACTTTTTAAAAAGAAAGAAATAAATTGTATTGATAACAAGTACAAGGTCATAGACTATTACTATGGAGACTATTACTATTAATATCCCATTCTGTGAGTTTTAACAGAGGATAAGTAGGAGATTCAAGGAAGGGAAATGGGCCTGGTACAGTGGCTCATGGCTATAATCCTAGCACTCTGAAAGGCTGAGGTTGGAGGATCACTTGAGGTCAAAAGTTGAAGACCAGCCTAAGCAACAGCAAGACCCTTGTCTCTACTAAAATAGAAAAAATTAGCCAAGTGTAGTGGCTCAGGTCTGTAGTCTCACTACACATAAGGTGACTGGGTCCCTTGAGCCCAGCAGTGTGAGGTTATAGTGAGCTAAAATCATGCCATTGCACTCTAGCAGGGATGACAGAGCAAGATTCTGTTTCTAAAAAAAAAATAAAAGTGAAGTTACTTGGTGGAGCTGAAACTGACAACTAGGTCTCTTACTGCCATATGAAAGGTTTGATCCTTAAATCTACCAGAATATTTAATTTTCATTCTTCCTATTCCAATTGGACCTGATTGTGATGCCAACTTGCTTTGCATTTTATTCTTCTGATAGAATTTGAGGATTTTAATTTTTTTATATCAATCATAAACTCTAGACTAAGTGTAGATGATCCATGATCAGTTATTTAAAATTTTAATTTGGAAAATTTTCAGACATACACAGAGAGAAAGGTCATTGAACCCTTATTTTTTTCTTTTTTATTGAAATCAAATTCACTTACATAAAATTCACCATTTTAACCATTTTAAAGTATAAAAGTCAGTGATATTTAGTATATTCACAGTGTTATGCAATCATCACCATGATCTAATTCCAGAACATTTTTTTTTATAGCTTAATATATTTCACCTAGAAAATAGAAAACATAAGAAAGGAAATGTTCAACTTTTAAAAATCACAATGAATTTTTAAATTCTTGCATGTTTGACTGTAAACACCTAGATGTTATTCTCTATTTTTTTTTTTTTTAATTGTTGAGGGTTCATTGAGGGTACAAGAAACCAGGTTACACTGATTGCATTTGTTAGGCAAAGTCCCTCTTACAATCATGTCTTGCCCTCAAAAGGTGTGGTACACACCAAGACCCCACCCGCCTCCCTCCTTCCCTCTCTGTGTTCTTCCTTTTTCCACCCCTCCCTCTTTCTTTGTCTTTCTGCTCTCCCTTGTCCCCACCCACTCCGTGTCATTAATTGTCATTAATTGTCCACGTATCAAAATTGAGTATATAGGATTCATGCTTCTCCATTCTTGTGATGCTTTACTAAGAATAATGTGTTCCACTTCCATCCATGTTAATAACAAAGGCTGTAAATTCTCCATTTTTTTAAATGGCTGAATAGTTCCATGGTGTACATATACCACAGCTTGTTAATCCATTCCTGGGTTGGTGGGCATTTAGGCTCTTTCTACATTTTGGCGATTGTAAATTGAGCTGCAATAAACAGTCTAGTGCAAGTGTCCTTATGATAAATGGATTTTTTTCCTTCTGGGTAGATGCCCAGTAATGGGATTGAAGGATCAAATGGGAGATCTAGCTTGAGTTCTTTGAGGTTTCTCCATACTTCCTTCCAAAAAGGTTGTATTAGTTTGCAGTCCCACCAGCAGTGTAAAAGTGTTCCCTTCTCTCCACAGCCATGCCAGCATCTGCAGTTCTGAGATTTTGTGATGTGGGCCATTCTCGCTGGTTTAGATGGTATCTCAGGGTGGTTTTGATTTGCATTTCTCTAATAATTAGGGATGATGAACATTTTTTATATGTTTGTTAGTCATTTGTCTGTCTTCTTTAGAGAAGGTTCTATTCATCTCTCTTGCTCATTGATACATGGGATTGTTGGCTTTTTTCATGTGGATTAATTTGAGTTCTCTGTAGATCCTAGTTATCAAGCTTTTGTCTGATTCAATATATGGAAATATCCTTTCCCATTGTGTAGGTTGTCTATTTGCTTTGGTTGTTGTCTCCTTAGCTGTACAGAAGATTTTCAGTTTAATTAAGTCCCATTTATTTTTGTTGTTGCAATTGCCACGGCTGTGCTCTTCTTCATGAATTCTTTCCCCAGGCCATTATCTTCCAGTGTTTTTCTTATGCGTTCTTTGAGAATTTTTATTGTTTCATGTTTTAAACGTAAGTCCTTTATCCATCTTGAATCAATTTTTGTGAGTGGAGAAAGGTGTGGGTCCAGTTTCAGTCTTTTACATGTGGACATCCAGTTCTCCCAGCACCATTTATTGAATAGGGCATCTTTCCCCCAAGGTATGTTCTTGTTTGGTTTATCAAAGATTAGGTGGTTGTGAGATGTTAGTTTCATTTCCTGGTTTTCTATTTGATTTCAAATGTCTATGTCTCGATTTTTGTGCCAGTACCATGCTATCTTGACCACTATGGCTTTTTATCACTCCCCAGAAAACCCAAAGGAGCCACTCTGCATCCCTTCCTTCCCCTCCTCCCAGCCTCTGGCAACCATTAATCTACTTTCTGTGTGTATGGATTTGTCCTTTTGTGACTTCTTTTACTTAGCATAGTGTTTTCAAAGTTCACTAATGTCATAGTATGTGTCAGTATGAAGTCCTAGTCTTGTAACCAGTCTGGTTTTATCTGTGACCATGGCTGCCCCCCGCCCATACCTGCTTATTTAAAACAAAATTCCATACATGATATCTTTTCATCCATAAATATTTCAGTATTTATTTCTGAAATATAAGGACTTAAATAATTTTAATACTGTTATTAAACTTAAATTGTAATAATTCTCTGACCTTGTTTTACAAAACATTCTCTTTTCTCGTTTATTTAAGGTCTTTGAACCCATTTACTCATCCCTGTTACCTGGTCAGGTAACTAATTTGCAACATTATTCTACTTGAATACCATTTAAGGCAAATCTGGGGGATTATTAGGCCCTTGGTTTCCTGACTTTGCAGTAAGTTGCTCCTTCATTCCCTATTCTCCAACCACAGAGTACTTGGAAATGCTTAGCTGAGAGGTATTTTTAAAAAACAGCTTATTGAGATATTCTTAACCATGTAATGTACTGATTTAAAGTGTACAATTCAATGTTTTTAGTATATTCACAGAATTATGCAACCATTATCACAATCAACTTTATAATATTTCTTCATCCCTAAAAGGAACCTGGTATCTGTTAGCAGCCACTCCCCATTTTCATTCAATTCCCTTCTTCCCCATAACCCTTAGGAAACTAATCTACTTGCTGCCTTTTTAGATTTGCCTGTTCTGGATCTTTCTTACAAACAGAATCATGTAGTATGTGGTCTTTTGTGACTTACATTGTTCACTTGCATAGTGTTGTCAGGGTTCTTCTGCGTTGCATCTATCAATACAAGTAAGATTGGATTCTTTATATATACCACATTTTGTTTATCCATTTGTCAGTTGATGGATATTTGACTTGGTTTCAGTTTGGGGGTATTATGAATAATGCTGCTATTAACATTAGTGTAAAAAGAAACTTTGGGAGCATTCTGTTTAACCTTCTTATTTCACAGACAAGAATATAGTGGTGCAGGGTGGTGGTGACATGTTTCCAGGGTCACAGAGCCATTCGAGGTAACGTAGTGAGGGCTGGAACCCAGGTTCACTGATTCCCAATTTTCTCCCCACCACAGAGCCTCAGCATTTTGACAAAATGTTTGCCACCTAAATATTTTCTGCCTGTCTAAATTGTTAGGTGTATAGCAATGCTGGTGTATTTATGAGGTTTCTGATTTGAACTATAAAGACTTCAAGTTGAGAATGGTTAATTTGTAAATTCCCTGTTGGCAAGCATTCCAACTAATACACTATAGTTTATGTGATTACAATATTTTAAGTACTCAGTGTAAAGAATTCTTAGAAATATCAAAGCCAATACCACATCAAAAGGAGCAGAACTATTATTAAAATTCAGAAATTGTGTTAGAATTTCAGCTGTGATTTATTGTAGCATTAAGCCTCCTTAGCACTGTGGCTAAAGTTGTATCTTTCGGGTAATAGGGAGAAATAAAGGAAAGTGGGAGAGACTTTTGCTGGAAATCCATTTTTTTTTTTTTTTAAGATAGAGCATTCTGCCTTTTTGACACTTGTTAGAATTTTTTAAATTTATTAGCTATATCACATAACTGTGGAAGGGAGGGAAGTTACTTTTGAGCTAGAGTGACCTAAGGGTTTTTCTGTTTCTTTTGTAGTCTTCCAACTGAAAGCATTAGGAATGATGCTTAGAAAAGAAAGCTGGGTGGTTGTTAATTATTCTGCCCAATTATAAGACAGAGCTGATAGAGGATGCAGCGACAGTAGCACTATCTGAGAGGTTAGATTTCACTCTGCTTTTACAAGCTCTGTGACTTTGCTCATGTAATTTTATTTCCTCATCTGTAAAAAGGAGGTTATATGTCTTTCCATTCTGCCTCCCGAATGCAGTATGAGGATAAAGAGTCAGAGGCTATAGAAAGGTGGACTATCTCGGTATTGCCCCTTCTCCCCATATTATTTTTCTTTGCTAGAGTGTAAGCTTCTGGAAGGCAGACTGTCTTTTCAATGTCTAAGCCAGTGTTGGACAGGAGTGTGTGAGTGCATGCACATGTGCACACACCTGATAATAACAGTGGCCAGTACCTCCCGATGTGGTCATCCTGGAGGAGGTACAACAGTAGACAAAACTGACACAGTTCCTCCCCTGACAGAGCTTGTGGTCGTGGAGGGAGAGGGAGACAGTGATTAACCCGGGACTCACAAATGTGTCGATTAGGTTGTGACAAGAGTTGCAAAGGAAAGGCCAAGAAGCTGTGAGTGAATTCAGGAGGCGTCCCTGGCCTTTGGTACGGGGGTTCAGTGTTTGGGTATGATTTTGCCTGCGGCAGAGCACGTTACCCACTGGAACTCAGTTGGGACAGCATAGGTTATAACCTTACTCAGCTGACTTTGGTTCAGGGCTTAATTGAGGACATGGTTTACATATTCTTAAAAATTCACTTTCTTGAGAGGAGAATTTATAAAATAGTCTCATTTTGGCTTTCTCTAATTTTTTGAAGTGCCTCTCTATGCAGATATTATTTTGTTATGAAATTCTGAACCGTGATGATGGCTTATTTTTGCTTCCAGGAGCCTTTGATGGGAGGCCGGCAGACTATATATTCATGCTCCTCTTTAACTGGATTTGCATCGTGGTATCCTTCTAGCTATTATTGTGGGCTGGAAATAAATCGTTTTTTTCAGGTTTGGGGAAATAGTATTCTATAAAACTTTCAAATTAACAATATTTGCATCTTTGTTTACAGTTAATAATTAAGAATAAAGTTCTTTTTAAATGCTATAGTAAATCATATTAGTCCTTGAGTAATGTATTTTCTTGATATTGCCTTTGTGGGATTTTTTTCCCACATGTGGTTGAGTTTTATTAGTATTCCCTCTTCTTGTTCCCAGTTCTGTGTCCTCATGTGTGACAGCTTGTTGACTGAAGCACAAAAAGATTCCATGCCATGAGACAGCTTCTGAAATCTGTGGTCCTTATCAGAAAATTAATTTATAAGCCGGCATCCTTTTCCTGTTTCATTGTTGTCCTTCTTTGGGGTTCTAAACGGCAGTTCAGTCCCTCCGTAAAGTACCCAGCTCTGGGCGTGGCACAGTCAGTCTCTCTGCTTTGTATCAACTACAGTTGTCAGCAGCCCTCCAACTATGGGACTCTTACAGATGATGAGAGCAGCAGAAGCTCGTGGTGTCTCAACTCCTGTGCAGACTCAGTGAGCTCACAGTTGCCTGTGGGCTCAGCTGCCATTTAAACTTGGCCAAGAGCCAGAAAATGTGGGTACCCTTTCCCCTCCTTTAAGAGAAAAAAAAATTACTTTAGATTTCATCCATGCTGTAGAGCCCTGAATGTGAGTAGATCCATTCTTTCTTTTAAAGGATATGGGCATCTCCATCCTGTTTGAAGGAGAGATGCGAAAATGCAGTGGCAAAGAAAGAAAAAGAGGATGCCGGGTGACCCACAGTCATATGCTGAAGCTGTAGATTTCTGCCATTTCTTTGTCATAGTATAGTCATGGAATATTCATAATGAAGATTATAAGATACTTCGTGCTTTAGGATATTTTCAGCAACCTATATTATACAGTGCTATTTTCCTTTAGAATACTGGAATGAAATTAACTTTTTGATGGGGGGAAATAACTATATCAGTCTTAACTAGGTACAGAATACTTCCTTTATATCTGATCTTTAACTTTACAAACCAAGATTACTGGCTTAGCAATGGATATGCAGGTAAGTGCCCCTTTAAACTATTTATTGACTCTTTTATATATTTCAAATTTATAATTAATGATCTTTGAAAGTAATTAAAATTGCATTAATTATGGTTAATTATGTGATACTTTGAAATTGCACAGTTAAAGATTTTAAGTTAGCAAAACCTTTGAAGATCTCACATGAATTATCCAAATGAATGCTGTTCTTGGTCATTTCTGGCTTCTTTATAATGTTTGAACATTGAGAATAATGGTTGTCCAGTTTTTTTTTTGTTTTGTTTTGTTTTTTTTGCAGTTTTTGGCCGGGGCTGGGTTTGAACCCACCACCTCTGGCATATGGGCCCGGGGCCCTACTCCTTTGAGCCACAGGCGCCACCTGGTTGTCCAGTATTTTATAGGCATGTCTGTGGTATCTGTTTTTAAAAATTGAGATTATATAAGTATAGCTTAGTTGCCTACTTTTTGCAAGGAGTAGAGCTTGACCCTGATATTTCCAAATTCATCTAAGATAATATAATTGTGTTTTATTGTAAGATTTTTATAACATTTACGTGTATCATTTATATGATAATAAGATCAATTTATAATTCCAATCAGTTGAATTCCCTTTACCCTTGTGGGGATTTTTTTGGAGGGAAGGGGTCAAAAGCATAGTAGATTTACGCTAAGCCTCTTTCTAAAGTGCCTCTGGAGCCTAGTTTTCACATGTTGACTTCTTCTGCAGCTGCTGATGATTCCTCTGATCATGTCAGTACTTTATGTCTGGGCCCAGCTAAACAGAGACATGATCGTATCATTTTGGTTTGGAACACGATTTAAGGTACAGTTGGAAGAACTTCCTTTTCATTGTGTTTGCGGAAATCCCTCTCTTCAGTACAGAGGTGTACTTTCAGACTCGTCCAGAAGAGGTCACTAGAGAGCAGTATACCGTAGGCAAGCCCCTTCTCCCCTCCCCAATCCCAGTTCTATTTCATTAGCTGGCTTGGAATCCCTTGTTGACTGTGTGACTTCTCCACTCCCTCTGTACTTCACTGCCCCTGAGTGATCTCATGTACGTGTGTGTTAGAGAAAAGGAAAGGTGCTCATGTGGAACCCTGTTCTTAAAAATCTGTTCTTACCACTTCCTTACTCCCTGTTATGCGCTTCACACTGTTGACTGAAATGGATTGGTTTTTGCCTCCAGATACTTCCCTTAGTATTTTCTCTCCCGGTTTGCCACCTGTACATTTTCTTTATTCTCTTTCTCATATAAATCCTACCCGTTCTTAATTTGAGTTGGGACTGAACATATTTCCTGAGTCTCCTGCCTAGAGTTAGTGCTGCCTTTGGGCTTTTGTAATACTTGTGTTCTTATGGTACTTACTACGTGTAGCCTTAAAGTTGTTTAGGTGTCACCTTCTTGTTAGTAGTGAAGTTCTTTGCAACTCTCTTAGCTCTGGGCATGCTATCTTGAATTTGATAAGGGGATTAATTTTATTTGGGACTTTATTCAAGATAGCAGTGTATAACGAGATAAAAATTATAAATAATTTTTAAAAATATGTAAAAGAACCTAAAAGGATGGGATATTTTTAGTTCCTAGCAATCTGATGGATGGACTCTTAGCGTGATTTTGTTATGGACCTTGGTTTCATTAGCATCCATAGGATACTCATCTATTTTTTGAAGCCCTTAATATTAATTCAGCACGGTGTGTATTACATCTAAAGCGTGGGCAAACTACTCTCTTCCTCAAGTTACAATATACAAATAAGTATACTTTCAGGTTGGAAGTTTTACGAACAGTAGGAACGATGCTAGATTGATCTGAGAAATTTTGCAGTGATCTCCAAAGGATTTGTATACTTTGTCAGTGTATCCTTATCCTACCAACCTGTAGCAGCTGTGTTCTTTTTAGGTATAGGTGTTTATGTCTGTGTATATTCTTTCCTAGGCCTGTTATTTACCCTGGGTTATACTTGGATTCAACTATATCATTGGAGGCTCGTAAGTGATTTATTTAATTGAAAAGTGATCTTCGGAAAACTTTCATTAAGTTTTGTCTTTCTCTACTCTTCATATTTTTCTTTATAAAACATTAAAGAATCACAACCTTGATGCATTAGAACCTTATACTTAAGGAATAATTTCATTTCAGTGTAATTGAGTAAATCATAGGGCCTTATACACATTTAACATTGAATGGTGGTGATTGTGTTAGCTCATTATTGGATACAGTATGCTTCTATTATATGTTTGAATAAATATATACAGTAGAACCCTCCATAGTTGACCACCTCTCTACATTGACCACCTCCTTAAGTTGACTTAATTTTCATAGACTAGACGTACACTACCACATGCACATATCACTATAGTAGGCCTAGTTCCTTACGTTGACTACCTCCGTGTGTTGACCAGTTTGTTACAGTCACATGGGCGTTCAACTTACAGAGGTTTTTCAGTATTTCAGTATCCATTTTGAGCAGATATAGACCTAATTCCTGTCTGACTCGACTCCTGTAAGAGCTGTGCATAAAATTGCTAGGTCTTATATTCTTTTTTTTTTTTTTTTTT